ATCTATCTATCTATCTATCTATCTATCTATCTATCTATCTATCTATCTATCTATCTATCTTATATATAGTTGAACACAAGCAAAATCTCCACTATATTATTAACATTCCCCAAAAATGTTTGCCAGTGCCAGGAAACAAGACTTACCTGTAGAAACAAATGGCGGCCTCTCTTTTGATTCAGTGTGTTCAGTCTGCAAACTGAGACTGTCCTCTGGCTGCACAGGCTTTTTGGCAGTAGGAGGGGAAGTAACAGGCGGGGGCACTGGCAGACTTGATAACACAGGAATCACCTTGGAGACAACAGAACTGAATTAAACCTCTTCTTGTACCAGAGCAGGCAACCCAAGACAAATCATTGATTCTGCCAATGTGAAGGCTGGGTCCAGCAATTCTTCTCCCATGAAGAAGGACACACACATACTCAAGCACAGGTGAATGTTAGTCTCTTTGGCAAAAGGAGATGGGCCTGCACAACCCCTCTGCATGACTCCTCTGCTCTCACCAATTGCCAAGAGTTCTCTCAATGGTTCCCAGCTATCACTCTGGCAATACTGGGGAGAAGTGAGCCAGCTGGAGGGTGGGGAAAAGTCCCATTTGTGGCACAAAACGTGGTCACAGTCTTCATGTGGCCCACAGTTAAAGGGTCTGATTTGGGGCTTTGTGCCCTGTATTTTCCACCTATTGAGATGAATGAAGCACGTTAATGCCTAGGCCCACACCCCTTGCTAAGCTGCAGGTTGGCTTGTTCTTTAGCATGATGTATGATTCTACCCACCGTGGTTTGTATAACATGGTTTATAATTGTGTCACATGTGAACCTAGCCAACTGTGGCTTATTCAGTCATTGTTAACAAAATCATACTTAGCATCATGTGTGAATTCTTTCAAACTTGATTTCAGTCAAACTAAACCAGAGTACATTTAATTTTGCCTTAATTCAGCCTATTCAGTTTACCAATAAGAAATGTTATCAATTAAAGTTTCATGTTGTTAAGGTATTGCTTTTTTAATATGTAAAAGCTCACTGCATTTACAGAAGACTTGCTCATTTAGCACTCTAATACTTACTGTTTAGGGTTGGAAAAGTTATAATTTCAGTTAAAAAAAACAACAACAGAAAAACTTCCCTACCATTGTCAGGACTGAAACTGATAAATTGGACAAATTGTCTTAGTATTTTCTCATTTAGAAATGAAATATTTTTTAAAGCAGTGAGGTAAAGCAATATTGCTTCAACTACTTCCTACCATTGTAAATTTCTTAGATAAAAGATTCTAATACAATGTTACTGCCAGTCTAGCTTAGGAGGAAAAAAAGGTTTATTTTTACTTTTATGAACCAGAACAAGCCTCACACATGTGGGGAAACTCACACATGTGGCGAAAATATTAAAACATTTCATTCACTCTACATGCTTTCTAAATCCAGGTAGGAAAACATGTTTTAAATGTTTATTCCTATTTTTCCCAAAGGGCAGCATCTAGGATATGGTTATTTATTTCAGAACACACTAGCTTCTAGTGTCACTTCTAACTCCCAGGATAGCTGTAGATCATTTCTGAAAGAAAGCAGGCAAAATGAATGCATAGAGTAGAATCTCTGGAGGAAGAAATATTACTTCTTAAATCCTTCTGGATGGTCAAGTGAAAGGTGTGTGGTACTTTTCTCCCCCCCCCCTTTTTTTTTTTGCATTTGACTATGATTTCTATGTTTCCTCTCTCACTACTTTCACTGGAAGGGAATGTAAGCATGCCAGCTCCATGTGGGTCTTCAGTTCACTATACCTCTTTGCATCCTCTACCCCTGCTCTGTGCTGTTACTTTCTATTGGTGTTAGAACTGGGGCTCTTGGGGTAGATTTCCACCTCTACCTGCAGATTTATTCTTCACTGCCAAGGACAGTGGCCCAACCCAACACTCCTTCAGACTCTCTCCCTGAGAGCTTAGGATCACTCCCCCCCCCGCATTTTTTACTGTAAGACTCCCATACAAGGAATATGGCAAACTTATATTTGATATATTGCACATACTGTATTTCCAATTTTCCACAGATGGTTCCTTTCGATAATATTTTAAATAATCCCTTCTGAATTTGTGAAATTTCACATATTTGAGCAGAACCCATGGAGAGATCATGTAGGACATCTATGTGTCTTGCCACTGGGTGGCACCTATGCTCTACATTCATCATGTTTTCTTCACAGCCTTAAGTGCCAGAGTTGGACATACTGTATGTCCAATATTGTTTTTCCCATAGAGGGCCTTTCCTACCACATTTTGTGCTCTTTTCCTGTTTTGATGAAAAAGACTGTTGCCTGTGATATGATGTTTAAGCATGCCAGAGTAGGATTGGGGGCAGACACGTGGGACAGATTCAGATCCTCACTTAGCTGTGAAGTTAACTGTGAGCTGTTTCCTCTCTTGCAGCCCAGCTTCACAGATTTGCTATGAAAGTGAAATGGGAAGAGAAAGAATGTTATATTCTTCCCTGGACTCCTTGAAGACAGTGAAGAATATACATATAATACTTCAAGTGCTATAATTTCTTTTTTCTATTTTCCTTTTGATAATTTAAAATTCATTGCACTGTTGCATTAAATGTTTCCATTAGCATTAGGAATACTTGGGGTGGAAAAGAGAATGAATGATTGAATGAATGAATGAATGAATGAATGAATGAATGAATGAATGAATGATGAATGAATGTAAAATTCATACCCTCTACTCTGCCTTGTATACAATATTATGTTGCTTTAACTATGGATTTGAGTCTTTGGGTGATAGTGACTAGATAACTTTGAAAGATCTCCACATTGCTTCCAGATTCATTAGTTGTCAAAATCTCTATTTAATGCTTTAAGAGTCATTATAACTATATGCCTACTCACACAAATAAATTTCAAGCATGCAAGCACACGCACTCAAACACAGGATGAGCAGAGGAGATCATAAGCCTTAAGAACTCCTGAATAGTCACGGTCCAGTCTTATAGATTACTGTGGATTCAATAGTTGTTTAATAAATGGACATTTGGGGGAAGCTGGCTTTGTGCTCACATGTTTACCACGGCTGTTTGCTTGCCCATTCCTCCTCATATTTAATCCATATTAAATGTATTCAAACAGATACAAACATTGTTGCTTCCTGGGTCAAGTATATAATATATAAAAGCAATTTAAATATTAAAAATATGAGTGAGGGACAGTTCTCTGTTCCATTATTCTAGGGGGGAAAACAGAATATAGTACACAGGAAGATGGGAGGGAATGCAGCATCATGCAAGTGAGTACCCACTTGTGAAATAGGATTCCCCTCCCTCAATTTCCTTCTCTCATACATCTGCCAAATCTGTTCCAGAAAGTTGGGGGACTCTCCAGGACAAGTTTTGTAAATACACAATGCACTGCAGGGAGGGAAATAATTCCATCAGTAGAACTGTTTTCACCCAAGTACGTACCTAAATTTTGCCTACTGTTATATTTAAATATATTTATAATTAATTTAAAGAATTTATCATTTGCCCCTTCATCCAAAGAATGCTGCATGCAATTAAATTTAAACAGCTATAGTATAGTAAATAATACACACACACACAAACACATCTGGAAAGAATTGGAAGAGAAAAGTTTAATTATAATGAAAACAAAAAGAAGTCCTAGAGTAGCACCCCTTCATGACTCTGGTGCTTTGACAATTCAGTAATACTGGTCTTAGTTTCTGTATGTTGAGCAAAATCAAAACTGTTTTCAGGATGTGTAAAAGTATACTTTGGAAAAATAAACTATAGGAAGGTCATCCCTGCCTTGGTTGTTTTTGCAAATTGATCTTGCACTATTTCTGGTGGAGCGGGTGACTCTTATGTCAAAGCCAAACAGAGATTTCTAATAATCCCTTGAGAAAAGGTATAAAGGAAAACTAACTTTTGGGGAAAACACAAAACATCTGGGAATCAAAAAGGCCAAAACCCTAATCTATCAATTTATCTGTGGCCATAATAGTAGTGACTCATAAATCTTGTTCGAAAGAGTTGCAGAAGCTGGGGAGTGGCTCTGTATTTTAGTAAATATCCTTATACGTTTTTTGTAAGATTCTTGGGTTGGTGTTCAATGAAAGACAATAAAGGAGGAATGAGGAATCTATAGCTTGCTGAGCTACAATTCCTGCAGGTTCCACTCAGCAATATTTGAAGGTTTCAAGATACCCTCATCCTGCTCTAAAGGGCTAATGGCAAATTCAAGCAAATTCCATGCTTAGTACCAAAGGGGGATACTTCCAAAACACATGTTGCCAATATGTGGCAAGACATGATATGTCACAATGTAAGGCTACCCTTGTGAGGTTAACATGAGGGGTTTCACACAGAGCTGCAAAGCATCCAAGTGTAATGTATAAATAGAACACAGCTCCCCACCCTAATAAGGCATAACATGTCCTCAGTTTCTTGCTGATATCAAACATGAACAAAAAATGAATGTGTAACATTTGCTGCAGATCAACATGAAGTTGGAAAATTAAAAAAGGACTGCACTGCTTAGGTTTCTTAAGCAGAAAACTGAAAATCAGGAATTAGATATTAAATGAAAACTGTGTCCATAACCTAAGTTTCAGACAACTTATAAATTAGTGTCAATTATATTAAAAAGTAAGTAATAAGAAGCTGGTGCCAAGGTCAGTGGGTTTATGCAGTGCCATTCCAAAGGGGTAATGCTTACAAATGATACTTACTGATAGAAAAAAAGAAGGAAACAGAAGAAAACAGTCATATTAGCCATGGCCAATACTGTCGTGATAATTAGATGGGAATAACCAGAAACATAAATTATTTGAAGAAGAAAATTCACAGATTTTGCAATGATGTGACATTGAAACTAGTCAGTAGGATGCCACGAGTACCTAGCTAAACATCTGCATATTGCCAACAAAACCACAGCAACAAATCTCCTTGTAAGAAACTGAGAGTCCAATTTGACCAGCTGTCCAAAAAACCTATTGCCTAATCACACATGCTCATCACCAAAAATATCTAAGGTTGAACACACTGTTTGGATTAACACAAAGGGGCAAATTTCCAGGACTTCACCACATATCTGATAGAAAGAAGACAATTAACAAATAGACACTTTAGTAGAGGTTTCCTCAACCTTGGCAACTTTAAGATGGGTGGACTTCAACTCCCAGAATTCTTTGCTGGCTGGGGAATTCTGGGAGTTGAAGTCCACCCGTCTTAAAGTTGCCAAGGTTGAGGAACCCTGCTTTAGTACATTAGGAAGCCCTCCTATGGATAGCTGAAATATGTAAATCTGAACACATGGTTTCACGTACAGAAATGATGATCATACACAAATAAAAATGTATTCTGAACCCACGTCTTTTCCTGTATGATCTTTCTCACTCCCATTATCCAAAGTTTTGGAGTCTCCCTTTTTCCTCTTTGCCTATCCATTCTAGGTTCTTACCTCTCTGGACAGGAAGAATGAGGTATGCCATTTCTATATTCCATACAATGTTTAGTACTAAATCAGTGCAAAGTTTTAGGAGGAAATCAAATGCCAGTATTATATATATTCAAAATGAATGAATGAATTGATTAATTAATGAATTAATGAATGAATACAGTTTGTATAGCTCTTCTCTAAATCATAAAATAACTCCAGTTGCTGGATCCCTGAGCTCAGCAAGAGTTTTTCCTAAAGTATTCCTTGTGAGAGCATGTCAGTTCAGCACCAAGTTTCTTGGAAGTGGATCAATCAGTGGGCTGCCAGAAAGTGGATCCATGCACGACGTAGGGTGTGCTCATCACACATCAGTTTTTTTCAAGATTGCAGACTGCTACCACCTTGATCTCTTCCAAGTTAACACTACTTACACAACCTACTGCTTTACTGCTCAAAGGAAAGATAACACTTGGTGCCAAATATTACAGTTCCTAGCACATTTTGTGATTGCACTACTGAAAACACATACAACTCATAGTGCTGTTTTGCTTCAACATCAGTGAGATGAACTATGCAATTTCATTGTGACTATGTTTCCCTAAACAAGTGTTCCAGGCAGGGGAATTCTGGGAGTTGAAGTCTGCGCATCTTCAAGTTGCCAAGGTTGAAAAACACCGCCCTAGACGCACACTTCCTGAGGCAACTTTTCTCACCCTCCACATATGTTGGGATCATAACTCTGAGAATTCTCAACCATCATGATGAAAGAATTCTCAGTATATTGGGGAAAGTCAGGTTAAATAGAGTGAGTCAACTGATTTGTGCCATTACTACAAACATTTCTGAAGACATATTAGGGAAGGCAAAAGAAAACTGTTTTTAATTTTTATATACAATTTAGACAATGTAGGTTGTACATTCCTTTTGCAAATGTGGAAATGTGAAAATCAGTCTCAGTAAGGAAAATTAATTTTATCTCTTGTTGCAAAAATATTTGAATGCTTTAAGCCTTTTAGTGAATTTCCAGGCAGAGTTGGGATTGCAGTCTTGACCTGCATTCACTTCTGTACCAGTGCTTTTTATCCACTACGTTATATAGTTATACAACACAGTGTGCATCTGTAGCTTCTAACTACATTTGATAAATAAGATGGAACTCTTCTGAGAGAAAAAAACCCCTTTCTGATCTTTTATGCTACACACATCACATGTATTTCCCTGTGGGAAATAATTCAGACTGATGCACAATAATGAAACTTTATTACAACCTGAGCCCAGCAACCTTCTGATACACGTGATCAATTAATGGTTCGTGATGGTGGCTCTTTCCCCTCTGCCTGCAGCAACCCTAGGCATGTGCTAAATGGGATCACCACAAGCAGATGCTAGAAGCGTGTCAAATTAAGCCTCCTCATTGTGGGTTTAAGTAATACCATGAAACCAGACCACCCAGTGCTACAGCTAGAAGAAAAGGAGGAGGACAAGGAGGGGATAAAGGGGAGGGAAAGGAACTGATGATGAGAAGAGAGAGAAATGGTGAAGGAGGAAGAGAAGGAAAAGGATTTCTATACTGGAAAATAGTAACAAGATTACGAAAATGGCATTGTACTCACGCTTTCCTTTTCGGAAGATGATTGCTTTATGTCTATTCCACTTCCACTATCACCACACATCTAAAGAGTTTTTTATTAAATAAAGAAAAAGTATAATCAGTATTTTAAGTCAGCAGATATAGTCCCACTAAAAAAAAAAAGTCTACAGTCTACATCAGGAATGAAACAACATGGCCATATAGATGCTGCTGAACTATAATTTCGAATGTGTTACACCATTTTGGCTTTGCTAGTTGGGTTACTGAGAACTGTAGTTCAGGAACATCTCAAAGGCTACAGCATAACCAACTGGATTTATCTTAATTTTTTTCTCATCAGCTACAAATGCTTTAATGTAAAATATTAACAAAGTTGTATAATCATCTGCATCAATATTCTGGAGAAAACGTTTGCCAAGCTTACATTGGACAGTAGGGGAGGTGATCAGTCAGTGTAAGCAGCCATTTTTGCACATACAGAGTCCAGGTTCTCAGCATATTTAGTTAAATATTCTCAGAAATCAAGGCTGGAAAAGACTTCTGTTTGAGTTGAAAAGCAGCTATTGCCAACAGAAGAGGCAATATTAGCCTAAATTGATTAGTAGTCTGATTCCATGGCCTCACTAACCTAACCCTCTTTGAACCCACATGCCTCCACCTTCTGTTTTTTAGATACAAGGAGATCAAACACTCCAGATTAATAACAGCTTAGCATGTCATTTGAAATTGTAAGTATGATTGGTGAAAACAACTTAATGAAATATGTTTGAAGTATAGTTAAGATTAATCACAGTTCAGCTAGATTTGGAAAACACAACACACTGTGGTGAAGCAAAAGCAGAAGTCACACTGGAAGAAAACTTGGAGTGTGCAAATCTGACAGGAAGCCAAGCTCATTCTCAGAACGCTAAACTAAAATTCAGGTTCCAACAAAACCTGCCCAGCGTAAAGGTGATCCCATATGTTCACATGCTGAAAAAAATATCAGTGATAGAGTCACTCACCGTATCACAGTCATCCTCTTCTTCGACACACTGGACACCAGCAGCCCAAGGATTACCTTTTATTTTTAATTCTGCAATTACGCCCTACAAAAGCAGAAACAAAAATATTACTAAATATTCAGCTTCCCGGGAGCAAAAAGAGCATCACTCCCAGTTTAAGGAAGTATAGAATTCCCAGGCCCATACCCCAAAAACATTGCCCATTTTATTTTCAGTCAGTATTCATTTATAACACAAATACTGTTAGCTTCTGATTGAAGTATAATATCCAATGTAAAAACAAGAAATGTAAGGCAGGAAAACAATATATATATGGGAGAGGAGAGTGATATAATGCACATTGTGCCTTGTGGTAGGAAGTGTTAGATTTTATCCTTCTAACCTTTTCCAGATCTATGATTCTGATTGCAATGGTTTTTGGAGGATCAAACACACAGATCTGACATTTCCAACATTTACAAACCCTTTACAGATTACTATTTTTTCTGCTGGGCCTTGGTAACCAACTAGCAGCAAGCTGTGTAGTTCTGCAATTCTAGGTAACACCTCCTAAAAGAGTGGGCTCTAATGCATAATCCTAGCACTGGGCATTATGGTTCTTGTAGTATCTTTAGATACAGCTTAGCAGCATAGCACTAAACCAGACAAACCTTCTCAACAAGATACATCAAGATATTTTTCAAAGAGGGCTCAACCATCTAATCTCTTTGCCCTGACTCCCAAGATGGCCAGCTTACCATTAGTTGAAAATGTCACAACATCCTCAGAGTCTGCTGGGTGTCAGCCTGCCACTGATACAGACTGAAGCTGGAGCCAGATGATCTGGCAAAAAAGTGTTTTCCATCAGAATATTCAATAAGATTTCCAATGCAAAGATTCTACATTGCATGGAGAAGGAACCTGAGGAAGGTTGGTGTCTTGCAGGGCTTCAATTGGTGCAGCTGAGGACTGCCTGCTCCCATCAAGCTATGGGGCTCTGTGCCTCCATGGACATTTCTGCTTAGCTGGGGGAGACAACAGAGCTTCACCAAACAGTCATGGGGGCAAGGAGCAGTAATTGGAGGAATATTGTCCTCAGGGAAGACCTTCCCCAGGGTCAACATTCTCTTTTGTGCTCCAAAAAAATTAAGGGAGTGCCTGTTCAAAGTTGTAGCCACACACCAGCAGCTTCCCCAGTGGCAGCTCCCACAGTATTTTCCTCCTTCTCCTCCATATTTGAGCATACCCTTCTGTCTACTACCCCTTGCTGCAGAAGCACAGAATGGTCTATCAAAAGGTAAGGCTTCCTTTCATTAAAAAGAGCAAGTCAGTTTTAAAAATTAGAGATCTATTCCTCCCAACCTGAGCCTAGTGACTCTGATTGGGGGCACACTAGCTGGACTGACTTTTAATCCCCTGCCACTGATCTGGAAAAGACCAAAAAGACCTTGCAATGGCCAAACTGGTTCACGTATTGAATTGCTATTACAGATGCTACCCTGTGGACTGCCTGTCCGTCAGTGATGCCTGTGTGTCCGGTGATATGCAGGATTCTTTTCTTAGGCAGGGAGGAAGGCAATGGACCTGCTTCCCACTAGCCCTACAATTCTGTGATTCATGATCATCAGATTTTAGACAGACCCACGGGAGGAGCTTTTCAGCAACATTAGGACTGCAGAGCCAGTGGGCAAATGAGCGTGCAGATTTAGGCAGGATTAAAGAAAAAAAATGGCTCTCTGAATCTGTGGAGGCCTTTCCTTTCAAGTTAACAACTTGGAAGCTGAGAGCAGAACATGACTGTCAGGCAACCAGCCACCCCTTGGAATTCTTCACGGAGAACATTCCTGCTGTAGCCTGCCGATTTAATGGGGTCACAGACAAAAATCACAGGGAGGAGCAAGTTATTTTTTTTTACCCAGAGTTTTGTGTGCGCAGCTGTTCTTCAAAGCTGTCCTGGAACAGGGATTCCAAGGCATTTTACAACACTCAGGGAGGATGTAAGCAGAAGCCATCTCCTTGCCATCTTCCTCTCTCCCAGGTCATGAAAACCAAGCAGCCCCAAAGAGGAGGCAAGTCTGTGGCTGAAGTCATACTTCAGTATAAATCTGGGCATGCCCAGATATTTCTCTGCAGGAAAAAGTGGCAACTATTCTAGCTCCCAACACCACACTGACCTGAAAACGGAGTTGATAGCTTGAGATAGCCTTAAAGCCCACCAAGGGCAGCCATGGGCCACAGGACCCCAACCCCCCTTCTTGAGGTTTCTAGTATTGCTCATGTTTGTGTTCCCGAAATTCAGCAGCAAATCACTGGATTGGAGTGGAGTAGTTTCCCACAGATTTTTGGTGGGAAACAAAAGAAAACTGGTGCACTGAGCAAACTTAGTGCATCTATCTGTGATAAAAATAACATCACCACACTGAAGGGGGAAAAAAAGCAGAGACAAAATATTCAGCTCCATCCTCTTTGTAACAATATTATTACTATGCTTCCTGTGGCTGCTGAAAAAGAAAAATTAGTAAGAAATGTCCAGCCCTAGCCACAAAAAAGTTACTGTTGCCAATTTACTGAGCTCTAAAACATCAAGAAATTATAACTCAACCATAGAGTTTATACTCTTTTTGGAAGCGGAAAAACTAGATTCGTATCTCAGCTTAGATAGCCTCAGGCAAAGGTATTGGAGTAATGGATGGTTAGATTTAAAGAGGCAGACATAATGAGTGAATTGCTTCTTACATTCAGGTCCCTACTGATCCCTATGATCCAACCATAGTCCTGTCTTGCTTGAACCCTGAACAAGACAAAGAGTCTCTCCCTCTCTCTCTCTCTTGATAGCTCTTCAATTTAAAAATGATCTCCCTGTTCCTCTGCCTTCATTCACATCTCTATGACAGAATTCTAGAATCCATTTTCGCCACCCCACCACTTCTGCCTCCTGAAGTATCTCTTCTCATTCATGCATGGATTCCTGACAAGATGTGGCAAACATTTCTGTGCAGTGAGATCTTGATCTGGGAAACTGCCATGTTCAAGGGCATGACTTAGATACCCCGTCTCACTGTAAACACCTATATAATATGTACTCAGTCTCCAAGGATAGAAAAGTGGAAAAAAGGAGCAGGCAGTGGCAGGCCAGAGGTTGCAAGTAGCTGCATGATCAGAAATGGGAATGCAGACAAAGATCCCATGATCTTTGTGGGAATGCAGACAACGATCCCATATTCCTGGGAAAGAAAAGGCAGGACAAGCTGGCCGCCTAGCGAAACCATTCTCAAGCATTTTCTAGCACTGTCCCTCAGAACTTAGCTGCTCCCTTGATTCCCTACTGCTAGACAATCCCATCTCTGTGCCACAGGCAAAAGGCATGTGGAAGCTGCTAACAGTCAGAGAATGAGTAATGACGTTTGGACATAATGACCAATTTATGGAAGATAAAAGAGAATTTCAGTCTTCCTTGTTTATCTTTTTAGCATGCTGTTGGTTGCTTTTTTCCTTAACCTACAGCTTTGGTTGTTAAAAACCCTAATAATAATTGGCTTCTTCACAACCAATTCCAGACAATGCAAGATCATGTGGGCATGCCACGATATCATTATGCAAGCCATGTCATTCTGCCTAAATGACCATGCAACCAAATTACACCCAAGTCAGGAGGATTGCCCTCATTCTGAAAATACTTCCTTATAATATCATGCAGCCAGTCAGATTTTACTGTGAGATATTATGAAAATCAATAAGAATGAGAGCACTGCTTCCTGTTCTCACTTTTTATGGGCAAACATTTTCACTGGGAGGTGAATCCCCACAAATCCTTTTTAGCATAAACCAATACATTTGATAGAGGTTGGGTATGAAACATTTCCTGCTATACATTCAGTAATACATCAGTTACATTTTAAACACAATTCTTCAAATTTATTTTAACCATCTAACATTAGAGTTTGCACATGGCTATTTGTTTTCAGCCTTGCTGTGTAGATCTTTGCTGTGCAAAGTTCTTGGCCTCAAAAAGCAGACAATCACTTCAAATTCTCTTAGTATGTTTATTAAGTTGTTTAGCTACAGCATTCTCTAAACAATGCTTCATCCATTATCATGTCATGTTACTATTATGTGCGTGTGTTCCTCAGGATAATCCACACTTCCTTTGCGTTTGTTTAGTCTTGCTGCTGTACAGTATACATCTGAAATACAACAACTTATTTCTTAAAAGCCCAAAGAACCTGCCAAACTAAAACATGTAATGCCACTGATCAGGGGAGTGAAAAATATTGCCGCTTTTTGGTCTTTATTGCCTGGAAAGGGAGAGGCCATAGCAACATGGTAGCACAGAGAAGCTCCCAGATTCAATCTTTCACCCACTTCCTGAAGGACTGGGAGCAACTCCTCCAGAAACCCTAGAGAGGCATTGCCAATGGTCTGACTCAGTATAAAGCATCTTATTATATATATAAAGGGCTGAGAAAGAGGGACTGGCCCAAGGCCACCCAGCTGGCTTTGTGCCTAAGGTGGGACTAGAACTCACAGTCTCCTGGTTTCTAGCCTGATGCCTTAACCACTACACCAAACTGGCTTTTAGTGTTGTACTATATCAGTATTTTAGTGTTTTTCTATTGCAACCCTTACTGTATGAGTAACATTTTTAAATTTTGGTCTACTGACCAAAAAATAACAGAATAAACATGACCAACTTAGGTAATATCTTTTTTCAAAAACACCTTATAGGTTTTCCTTAGGAAAAAAGTTGTACCTGGCAATTAGGAAGCAAACACTAGCCAGCAAATAAGTACCTTGGATGAGGTCTGCTACATGCCTGAGATCTGGATCTGTCAAGTGTGTGTACACTTGCCTGAGGGCCTTCATGGCTAAAGGGCAGGATAAACACCACAGCACACTACCAGAATTATGTCAATACATAATCATTATTGGGGTTTGTACTTAGCATCTACAAAGCTGAAGCACCATTAAGATTCTGGGCAGTACAGTAGGACTGCAAATGGCAAAGAGAACTGAAAATTCATCCTACAGTCTTCTGTGATGGCATCCAGAACTCTGATTCTCTTTGGCCCAGCTCAGATGCACCACATACAAAACCACAGTTGATTATTACAAGTATAGGAGAACTTTATGCAGCTTTCCTACAATTTTACCTTTGTAATAATGAGGTTGCATGAGTCCTGAATTCATAATCCAGCCATTTTTTCCCACAAGCACAAAGAAGAAGCCTGAAAACTTCCCTGTTATTTTCATATATGTGTATTAGAAATATGTTTATTCTAACTATGATTAAAAGAAGCAATAGCTCTCAAGTCTTCTTGGCATCCTGCACAAATGGAGAAGAGACCATGTAAGATGCTGATTGTGCCCTTCAGCAATAGAAGATCTAGTCATCACATACTATATCAAAGCATCAATAAATATCTAAGCTCCAGCATAGTTTAAAAGGTTGGACTAACTCACTGGATGGCTTTGAGCTTGTCATTATCCCAGTGGTAAGCCATGGATGAGAATGACTCTAATCATTCTTAACATAAATCAACATCACTTCAATGCTTGCTGCTTCCCCATCTGATGTCTGAGTTAACATTATCAGCAGGCTTCTTGGGACAGGATAATGAAATGTGATTGCAGATGGTGCAGAAGAAAATCCCTCCCAACTCTGTTCTTTAAATCAAATTAACGACTATATATACGTCAAACCTATGCTTGCTGGTATTTGCTGTCTTCTTGCTCTTGGAGAGGCTGCATTAGTCTCCAGCTTACATCAGCAACTGGAAATATTTTAGTATTAATCAAGCTCACCTCAGGATCAATCACCTCCTGCTAAAGTTTAGCACTCTTACTCTTCCTAAGTATTTCTGGTACACTTAAAGCTTAAAGAAGTTATCTGCCACATGTACTATAGATAATTATCTACATCTGTTTCTGCATGGGTAGGAAAGTCCTCCCCAAGAAAGTCTGCATGGAAAAGCAGCAACTTTTGTTTTTATCATCCCTCACACTTAATTCTTAACAAGACCGGGGTAGGGGGAGAATACTCCATGTTTTGTCTGGAGTCATTAGCGCCAGAGGATTCCTGCCTCTCTCTTTCCAGCAAAAAGGAAGAATGCAGCAATAGATTTGATCTCAGTGGGGAGGCCCAGGATAAATCTCAGGAATCACTAGACTGGCAAATTAAGCCAGTGTCTGGACATGAACTTGAAGATGAAAAATGTTAACTATTTCCACTTCATTTTTTCCCCTCTGAACAATTACTGTATTTACATTTGTTTTAAAAGTCTTTTCCATCTACCACAAAAATGGTCTGCAGCCATTACCTGCAAATATCCTTCAACCAATTCTTTATGAATGCCATTAAAAGAAAGAAAAGAGAGAGAAAAAAGTCCAGGGCACCTTGGTATGTGGACAGAATGAACACAGACAGAGAGAAAACAGAATGGGGAAGGAAAAAAACCCAGATTTTAACCAAAGACATCTTTATTTGTACACATTAACCTGTTTTTCTGCAACATGAACACTCAGGAACTCTATTCTGTAACATTATTGATTGTGGTCTTGTGATTGTGGTAGCCAAGTATGTGAGGCTAGACTGCCAATTGACAGTTGCACGCCATACATGCTTCTCAATGCATCCCACATATTGGATGTGGTTTTTGTCGAAGACAGGAAAGCACATTACAGCCCTCTTTAAGCTTTTTCTTCCACATTCCTAGCTCCTCCATTGCATAAAGCAGAGAATGAAGTAAATTAGATGCTTATTTCAGAAGGACTGATACTTCTGCCAAAACATAATTGGTAGTGGTGGGGAGAATAAACGTTGTCCAAAATGTTTTGCGGTAATTCATAACCCACAGAAAGATGTTTAATCATTCCTGTACATCTGTCAGTTCCTAAATAGTCCTCAGCTGAAGACAAAAAGATAGTGAAAGAGAGCTAAACAGATATATGATGGAGGATGAGGCACTGGCTGAGTATAGGCAGCAAGAAAAAGTTCCCTGAAACAAACTACAGATAAGGAAAGTCCACATCATTAGGGAAAAAATATCTAGTCATTGCTACTTTGTCTTTTACTTTTGGGAAAACATCGGTTTATGACAACCATCTCACTGGAAATAAGCAAGCTCACCTGGTATTTATCAGGATCTGCCCCTCCAGCTTGTGCCACAAAAAGTCCTGATCCCTCTTCCAGCTCCATCTCATCAGGTGACCTCTCAAGATGAACCGTCTTAAATTCTTCACAGTCCATATAAAGAACCACACTGTAATCCCGCACGCTGATGGCAAAGCGGGTCCACTGATTGACCAGGGAAGGTACGGTAAACGTGGCTGCAGCATTGGAATTCTGAGAGCCAGGCTCCGTATAGTAGAATATGATCTGCTGTTTTCCATCTTTCACCTCAGAAAGCTTCACACCAATGTAGATGATCGACTGGGAGGCATCCGTAAGAGCAAAAAGCACCCCTGCTTTGCTTGAAGTGGGTTGAATGTGGAACAAGAGTGAGAAGTCTCTGTAAAAGGGGCTTGGGAGATGGTACCGTGCCACCTGTCCCGCGTTGGCATCCAGTCCAAACACATAGCCAGGACTCTTGTCTGGACCATAGACTTTGCTTATCTGGTCTGGGGGAGGGTCTCCAATCAATTCTAAGAGACCAACTTCTGTGCTGAAATTTTCTGTTAAGAAAAGAAATTGGGTAGTTTCAGAAATAACAGGGACAGTACCGAACACACATTGGAAAGTCTCCTAAAAATCAGCGTGAGAAGGGGGTAGTCCTGAGCTAGGTGGGATGCTTGGTCCTGTATTGAATACCACTTCTTTTGCCCATCCATATAGTTCAGCTATTTCCTAGCTATAGCTTATTTATCTCTCAGAACGTCCTAGAGAGAACAGTTCAGAATAAATGACTTATTGCACAGTGAAGAAGGCATGTTGCACGTACTGTATTCAATGAAGCTAGGTCTTCAACTGCAAATAGTTATTGGACACCCAGTATAAATAAGTAATAAAGCGAGATACATTACCAGTAACATGATTTAGTGAGCTCAGTGTCATAGCTCTGAAACAAATAGGATTTCTAGATGGTGACTTCTACAAGACTGCCTGCTTACACTTCAAGGAATGAGGTTGTGTTGCAAGTATCTATTTGAATTTTAATTGTAACCTTCCATAGATGCAAGAGTTATATACATAATATGCTCAGTAGGTATGTATGTGTGTGTGTGTGTGTGTGTTTGTATGTGTGTGTGTGTGTATTTAAAAGCAATATATGTACATCCAAATTCACAACATCCTGTCCCATCTACAAGCAAGATCTAAGAAGCTGCTTTCACTGGGATTCATCTAGCTCAGTTGTGTCTTCTATGCTGAACTAACTCTGAGATTTCAAAGCAGGAGTTGTTTCATGTGTTTTACTATTAAACTGTCTTTCTCTTAAGTCAGGATGGGCAATTTGGATCACATGCAACTCCTGTGCCTGTTTTGCTTTTTAGCACACAGGATCACACTACCAAAATGCAGCAGCATACCACTATATATCAGTAGTGTGATTTCCCATCAAGTATGTGCAGAAAAAATAAACTACAGTAATACGGTAACCTATGCTATCAAAACCCCCACCCCCAATGGCTCCTGGTACAAACAAATATTGTAAAACAGGGTTCCTCAACCTTGGCAACTTTAAGACGGGTGGCTGGGGAAATCTGGAAGTTGAAGCCCACCCGTCTTAAAGTTGCCAACATTGAGGAACCCTGTTGTAAAAAGCATAGCTGTCTGCTCCTGCCTTAAGTTCTGAAGGTAGAAAGGTCAGGACTCCTGAAGCAACAAGTACCAACGATCAGGCAAGGACTTCAAAACACAACCAGTTCCTACAGCTCTAGGCTGTTGCTGAGTTGTGGGGTAATGGTACTCTGTATTTTTCTTTGACACTGGAGCTGGAAGGATACAGAGTAATTCACACTTCATTTTGAAACTCAAAAATGTTAGATCTGAATAGTAAGTTCTCAGGGCTGTAATATTGGATAGCTTTATTGGTCAAAATTAGACCTCACTGTCAAAACTTCAGATGGCAAATTTCATTTTAGAAAAGACAGTCCCTACAATGACCATAAGAAGGCCTTAATTAGGACTTTTTCTCTTGTAAATCCATACAATCAAACTCCAACCAATTAAAGTTCATACAATGAATTAACATATATTTCTGTATATGCTACACTGGCAATTTTGAATGATAGCAGTTCCTTTGAATGGCTGAATGTTCCATGTAGGACCAACAGTGATCTAATGTACACCACTGGAGGCAGCTCATGTAGACAATCTCCTAAAACTAAGCAAGTTAAGGTTTAGTCCCCCCCTGGATGAGAGACCTCCATGAGTTGCCGTGCATCTGATATAAGGAAAAAGGCAGTCTATGAATGTATTAAATGACTTAATGAAAACCAAATTTTCTTAAAATATGTCCATTCAAACATAAATGCCACCCATGACTGCTGCCAGTTACTTTAAAAAAAGAATAAATATGGATTTGCTCTGACATTATCTTGTTCAAAGGGTTACAAAGTTTGGAGTCAGCAAAGTTTTAGAAAAAGCCATTTTTTAAAAAGAGATGAACAAGTCTCTATTCGTCCTCTTTCTAGGCAGCAATCTACACTTTAAGTACAAAATCCAATTGATTACATTCTTCTTAAGACAAATAATTGATCCAGTGAATAGCCAGCCTACAGTCCCATATCCAGACTTTTAAGACGGTAGGGGCAGGAAAGGCACACTGCATTGTCTATTTTCAGGGTCAGTGCCTACTACCTCTTGCTAATAAATGCTCCCCTTTGAATGTAGTAGGCAAGACAGGTTATTTAATGAGGTCATTCTCTCCCTCCATGCACTAGCCAGCCAGACGTAATTCCAGTCAGCCTCTCTTCAAAACCAGGGGTGAAAATGACAGCATAAAAACAGATTCAGGGAAAAGAAATAGGTGGAGGGAAGGTTAGGCATCTATTCCAGTGACCATCTTCCCCTTGCAAATGTGTCTTCTGCCCTCCTTCTCCAAGAAGTAAATCTGGAAAATAAGTTCAAAAATGGAGTTGGGAAAATTTAGACTGTCACTTCCATCACTGGTTTGGAAGACAGACGGCAAATCTGTGTATAGTAGCAACAAGAGCAGCAGTTAAAACAACTAAACTTGATTTGGGAGAACTCTTTAACCTGGTGCTCAAAAACAATTTCTCCCAAGTGTCAAGATTAAGTCCCTGCTTCGATTCATCTGAAGGGGGAGAGGAAGTACACAGGGAGTAATGGAAAGCCACGGTTTTTCAAAGGGGAAACACCTGTACTTTGAACTCTGCTTAGAAACTAACTGGAAGATACTAAAGGGTGTTTAAGTTCTAGTAAAGAACATTTTCAGATTGCAGCCTAGCACAGATATTTTAAATGAAGAGCAGTTTCTAAGCAATGTTTAAAGACAGCTGGAACATATGTTATAGGGGTATAGACAACTTCCAATTTGACCCCCAGAACTGTGTTGAATACTGCCTGTTTTTCATTTCTTACTTATATTTTTATACTCTTGAAATGAAAGGATCCGGTATATCTGTAGGGTGATCAGCCTTCCGCAGTTGCAGCCTAGACTGCAAGATCTTCATTTTGACAAGTAGGTCAGGAAAAGCAAGAATTCAAAATCTTCACTCAGGCTGGGCTCTGTTCCACAAGAATAATGTATTACTGATTTGCAAGACTTCCATGAAATCTATCACAGACCCAGCATCTGTTGCTTGCTGGCAGTGACTAGACCCAAGGGACTAATTCACACCAACAACAGGATCTGTCCTGTTTCAGTTTGTATTATTTGGATGGGAAAAAATTCTTCCTGAACTACAACTGGAAATCCCTGCACAAAGTCTCTAGCGACTCTGCTAAAGGCTGACACTGGAAAGCTCATCCTGAGAATAGATTCTGTGGCGGCTGCTTCCTTTCCCCCTTCAGCCCCAAGAGAGACAAGACACAGAATGTCATTTTTATCTCTTCATTTTTTTTTCCCAGATAGAATGGGCTGAGGATTCAAAATTATTTTCTATAGAACAGTGTTTCTCAACCTTAGCAACTTTAAGATGGG